TAAAGTTAGCATTATGTTTCAACTTCCTTGCTCTCCTTCACTAGCTGAAGCGAATTCCCCCACACTGTTTAGAGGGACTTAGAGGAGTTTACTCCCAGTTGGAAGTCTTTGTCTGCTCAAAGAGTCTCAGCTCCCTGGAGGTACTTTCATTATAGTATGATTGTCAGTGAGTGTATATATGGCATTTTCTGGCAACAGAAGACAGCATGTGTGTGTCTGCTTTGTTTTCTAGGAGCTGCTCTCTCTATGTGGAGGTGACCTGAGCTCTGCACTGCCCTGGCTGGAATTGCATACCCTTAACTTCAGCTACAACTCTATTGTCTGCCTTGACCAGTCACTAGTGAGACAAACATGCACATAGATGTATTATTACTGACTTATTAGCCAGTGTTATCATCATCTGACTTCAACCCTCTCCACTCTGTTTTTCACAGAGTTTATTGAATGTCCTGAAATCTTTGGATCTAAGCCATAACAAGATTCAGGAGTGTGCTGAATTTCTAAAGGTAGGATAGGGACCACGGGTTATGTAATTATAATTTTGTAAATATGTTTTTGTATTTTCCTGCTTAAGACAATCCCTTATTTTGATTTTCTGTCATTTATCTCACCATTGGTTTGTCTCAGCCCTTGACTGAACTGGAGCATTTGAATCTCGGCTACAACTGCCTGCAGAGGGCGCCAATACTGGGCCTGAGTGCCAGGGCCAAACTCTGCACGCTCATTCTCAGAAACAATGAACTGGAAACTATAAATGGTAAGTGGACTTATGTGGACAGTCAGTTGCTCCTCTTGTTCATCAGAGACAAACAGTCCCTGGTCGGATCAGAAAGAGTAGTTAGCCAATCAAATTAAACAGGTGAAAGAATAGTTCAATTCTATTCAAATTCAAATTTTATTTGTATAGCGCCAAATCACAACAAAAGTCATCTCAGGACACTTTACAAAGTAAGGTCTAGACCACATGTGTCAAACTCAAGGCCTGCGGGCCACATCCGGCCCAGCGTACAGTTACATCCGGCCTGCAAGAGATCATTTTACATATCTTTTTTTAATGGCCCGGTGATATGAAGCGCCGATAACACACAAACTACAAATCCCATAATACTGCGCAACAGCTGCCTTATCGAACGATAGGCTACCTGCGATCATTCCCGCGTCAATTACGTCAGATCAATCAAGCGTCTGTTGATGTATACAACCCTAATTTCAAGTCAAAGCTAGCCCCTGACAATGGCCAAGAGAAAGGTTGATTCTGAAAACAGAGCCTTTGAAAACCGGTGGGAGGCTGAGTATATGTTTACTGACATAAACCCGTGTGTCTTATTTGTGGAGCTAATGTGGCTGTAATTAAGGAATATAACCTAAGACGGCACTACGAGACAAAACATCAGGACAAGCTGAAAAACGTGAATGAAGAGCAGAAGCTACAGAAGGTAGAGGAGTTGAAGAGGAATCTGACATCACAGCAGACGTTTTCACCAAAGTGAAATCACACAGTGAAGCTGCTGTGAAAGAAGTTTTATTGGAGCAGAGGAGAAAATCAGCCCGGACATTTACCGAGGGAGAGTTTCTGAAGAGCTGCATGATGAAAGCGTGCGACATCTTGTGTCCAGACAAAAAGCAGGTGTTTGCAAATGTAAGCCTTGGCAGAAATACGGTTGTTTATTTATTTATTTTGGAATAACATTGTATCCTGTCTGTTTCGATTCATATTTATTTAAAAAAACGTTTAGTTTTAGTCTGTTCAATAAATTTTTATCCTGTTTGACCTGCGACCTAAAGTGTGCTTTGAGTTTTAACCCCTGTGCAATTGAGTTTGATACCCCTGGTCTAGACCTTACTGTTATCACTATTATTATAGAAGAAAACCCAACAAATCCCCCTTGACCAAGCACTTGGCGACAGTGGGGACAAAAAAAAAATCCCTTTAATGGAAGAAACCTCCGACAGACCCCGGCTCTTGGTGGGCGACCTTCTGCCTCAACCGGTTGGGGTGAGTGGATAGAGGAGAGAGAGAAGAAAAGAAAAGCAAGAAGACACATCAAACAATCAAACACTGGTCAGGTTGATGTGGCTGGTGACTGCTCATCAGAAACATAGAGCTCCAGAGCCAGAAAGGTACAGGCAGAGAGAGAGAGAGAGAGAGAGAGAGAGAGGAACGCACTACGGGGGAGAGGAGACACAGTTGGTGACACGTAATGGTGGCATATAGATGCATGGAGGAGAAGAGAGAAAAGAAACTCAGAGCATCATGGGGCCCCCCAGCAGCCTATGTCTATAGCAGCGTAGCTAAGGGAAGGCTCAGGGTCACCTGATCCACCCTAACTATAAGCTTTATCTAAAGGGAAAGTCTTAAGTCTAATCTTAAAGGTAGAGAGGGTGTCCGCCTCCCGAACTGGGACTGGGAGTTGGTTCCATAGGAGAGGAGCTTGATAGCTAAAGGCTCTGCCTCCCATTCTACTTCTGTGGACTCTAGGAACCACAAGTAGACCTGCACTCTGAGAGCGAAGTGGTCTGCTGGGTTGCTGCTGCAGCAATTTGGATTAACTGGAGACTTTTTAGGGAATTATTGGGACATCCTGATAGTAAAGAGTTACAGTAGTCCAGCCTGGAAGTAACAAATGCATGGACCAGTTTTTCAGCATCACTTTGAGACAGAATGCTCCTGATTTTTGCGAGATTATGCAGGTAAAAGAAGGCAGATCTAGAGACTTGGTTTACGTGTGATTTAAAGGACATATCCTGGTCAAAGATGACTCCAAGGTTCCTCACAGTAGTACTGGAGGCGAGAGCTATGTCATCTGGAGTAACTGTATGGTTAGACAGCAGATTTCTAAAGTTTTCAGGCCTATGCAGAATAACTTTAGTTTTGTCAGAGTTTAGAAGTAAGAAATTACAAGTCATCCAGGTCTTTATGTCTTTAAGACATGCTTGAAGTTTGACCAGCTGATCTGATTCATCTGGGCTCATAGATAAATATAACTGAGTATCATCTGCATAGCAATGGAAATTTATGACATGTTTCCTGATAATATTGCCTAAAGGGAGCATGTATAAAGTGAAGAGATTTGGACCTAACACAGAGCCCTGTGGAACGCCGCGACTAACTTCAGTCAGTAAGATGCTGTGATCAATGGTGTCAAACGCAGCACTGAGATCTACTGTAAGAGGACAAGTATGTAGACAAGTCCTTTGTCTGAGGCTAGGAGAAGATGGTTGGTGGCTTTGACCAGTGCAGTTTACATACTATGATGGACTCTAAATCCTGACCAGTATTCAGCATCCTCACAGCCTGGTGAATGAAGTTGTTTGTAAGTCTGGTGGAGTGAGTCTGAAGGCTCTGATACCTTCTCCCTGATGGCAGGAGTCTGAAATGGGAGTGTGCAGGGTGGGAGGTGTCATCAGCAATGCTGATGGCTCTGTGGGTGAGGCGGGTGTTGAAGATGTCCATAAGGGAAGGCAGAGGGGCACTGATGATCTTGCTGGTTGTTTTCACTATGCGTTGTAGGGTCCTTCTGCAGGAGGTAGTGCAGCCTCCGTACCACACAGTGATGCAGCCAGTGATGACGCTCTCAATGGTGCCCCGGTAGAAGGAGCACATGATGGGGTATGGGGCACTGGCTCTCCTCAGTTTGCAGAGGAAGTAGAGGCGTGTTTGAGCTTTCTTGTCCTCAGTCTGTAGAGGAAGTAGAGGCGTGTTTGAGCTTTCTTGGCCAGTGATGTGGTGTTGTTGGTCCAGGAGAGGTCCTCAGAGATGTGCACCCCCAGGAACTTGGTGCTGCCCACTCTATCCACTACAGCACCATCAATGGTCACTGGTGGATGCTTTAGAGGTTTTCTCCTGAAGTCCACAACGATCTCTTTAATCTTCCCCACATTGAGGGAGAGCTTGTTATCCTTACATTACTGGACCAGTTGGCACACCTCACTCCTGTAATTGACCTCATCATTGTTGGTAATGAGGCCAACCACAGTCGTGTCATCTGCAAACTTGACTTGATGAGGTTGGTGCTGTAGGTTGGCACACAGTCGTGGGTCAGCAGTGGGCTGAGCACACACCCCTGCGGAGCCCCTGTGCTAAGTGTGATGGTCTTGGAGATGTTGCTGCAATTACTGCAACTTTAAAAGTCTGTGGAACATAACCTGTTAATAGAAGGAGATTAATCAGATCTAATATGTATGTGTTGATTAGGGGAAAGATGTCTTTGAGCAGCCTGGTCAGGATGGGGTCTAAGAGACATGTTGATGATTTAGATGAAGCAATTGTTGAGGTCAATTCAGAGAGATCTATAGGGGAGAAGTAGTCTAAGTATAACTGAGGTCTTACAGATGATTCTGAAGCCATTGTAGTTGATGACACATTTGTGAGAGTTGTGGGAATTATTTGATTAAATTTTTTTTTTCAAATAGTTGTGATTTTATTTGTAAAGAAGCTCATGAAGTCATTACTACTGAGATCTAAGAGAATATTAAGTTCAACAGCACTGTGGCTGTTTGTCAGCCTGGCTACAGCGCTGAAAAGAAAGCTTGGGTTGCTCTTATATTTCTCTATCAGTGATGAATAATATGTCCCTGGTAGGCTAGTGGTTAAGGCGCAGCGCTCTTGCCGCTGCAGCCTGGGTTCGAATCAGGGTTGTGTCAGGAAGGGCATCTGGCGAAATCACATGCCAAATGTCAACATGCGAGTCGTCAGTGTGACGATTCGCTGTGGCGACCCCTAAACGGGAAAAGCCGAAAGTGAATTTCTAGTGATGAATAATATACTGTATGGTTCTTGCACTATGAAGGGCTTTTTTATATATATATGTTATTAAACTATCTTTCCAGGCTAGGAAAAAGTCTTCTGACTTATTGGAATCATCACACTTTGAATCATTCAGTAACCTTATGCCTACCTGTTTATTTGCAAAGGAAGAATAACATTAGAATCAAATCAGATATTTGAGCTCCAGGTTTATTTTTATTCCATGTACATGCATATGTTGTTTGTATGCTCTTGATATCATGTCTCTTTTCTCCCCTTTGCTGCGCTCTCTGGTTAAACAGGTGTGGAGCAGTTGTCTTCACTCCAGCACTTAGACCTGGCCTATAATCTCTTGTTGGAGCATTCCCAACTGGCCCCTCTCTCCCTGCTGCACTCCCTCAGCACAGTAAGATCACACATCCAAAGACTTAAAACCACAAAGGTTCCAGTTTATCAAGAGTCAAGAATCTTTATTGTCATTATGCATAACACAACGAAATTTTTTGCGGCAGCTCTCGGCTTAAAAGACAGACATATTATTTACATAACATACAGTTGTATAAGTCAATATAAAATGAATGAATGAATGGATGAACAAATAAAAAGGGATGTATGGGACCTAATCAGGTCAGCAGCATGTTAGCAGCAAGAGTATAGTAACATTATAAAGTGTAGCTCAGTGCAAATCTCAGTCTTTAGGAGGAGGTGTGTCTGTCCATAGGGGGGAGGTTGTGTGTGTGACTAGGGGTTAGTGGGGTGATTGATTTCACAGCTCTGGGGAACAAGCTGTGTCTCAGTCTGTTTGTTTTAGCCCTTATATTCCTGTACCTTTTCCTGGAAGAAAGAGGCACAAACAGACTGGTGCCTGGGTGGATGGGGCAGCAATCCGTCCAGCCCTCCTCTGGATCCGGTCAGTATATAGTGAGTCCAGATCCAGAAGAGGAGTACCTACAATGCCCTGAGCTGTTCTCACCACCCGGGTCAAGTCCCTCCTGTCCTGTGCAGTGCAGCTCCCATACCACACTGTCGCACTGAGACAGAGGATGCT